TGCAATTAGATAGGAGGAAGAATTTCTTCCCTGAGGGAGGGGGCAGGCACTGGAACAGGCTGCCCAAGGAGGTGCTGGAGTCACCAAACCTGGAGGGGTCCAAAAAAACAAGTGGATGTGGCACTTGAGGCTGTGATGTAGTCGTTAGGGAGATGCTGGGAGGAAGGTTGGACTTGATGATCCTGGTGGTCCTTTCCAAGCACGGTGATTCTATGATATCTTCTTCAAGGAGGACTCCATCCCTCCTGCCTTTGATCCTGAGCTGTGTGCTCCTGAGCAGAGTTCCAGAATCCAGCTCCTGGACCCAGCTGCTGAGTCCAGCCTGGGATTTTTCCTCAGAGCCTTCTCCATAGCTTCAGGGGGGACAGTGAGGGATTGCCATCAGAGGGGAGGTGGGTTCCACACTGCTTTTGTATATATTCCATGTTATTGTTATTATTATTTTCATTAAAGCTGTTTTTCCTTTGTCATCAATAAGTTCCTCTCCCTTATTCCCTTTCCCTTCCCCTTTTGGGTGGAAGGGGGTTAACAGAGAGCATCTGTTACAGGTCTGGGGGCAGCCCTGAACCTAAACACTGACACAAGGGAAAAGGTAATAGAAAGAAAACCAACATACATATTTTTCTTCAAACTTCCTGGCAAGAGCCTCCACTTTATGCCTTTCCTTCTCATCATCATTGAAGGGATCAGCAGAGTCTTTCTTCTGTAGAAATAAGAGAGAAAACGATCAGAATCAATCTTGTCATGTCACTTCATGCACTAAACCCATCACAACCAGAGCATCCAGGCAGAAGATCAGACACATCAACCTTCAGCAATGACATGGGCACTGGAACTGAGGCACCCTCAGCACGTTTGCCAAGCTGAGTGGTGTGGGTGATGGGCCAGAGGGATGGGATCCATCCAGAGGGACCAGGACAGGCTGGAGCAGTGGGTGTGTGTGAACCTCAGGAGGTTCAACCAGGCCAAGCTCAAGGTCCTGCCCCTGGGTCGGGACAAGCCCCGGGGTGGGCCCAGGCTGGGGGTGAGGGGCTGGAGCGCAGCCTGAGGAGCAGGCCCTG